TATATATATATATAGAGAGAGAGAGAGAGAGAGAGAGAGAGAGAGAGAGAGAGAGAGAGAGTTTCTATAAAAATCATAATCTTTGTAAAATATTTGATTTGAAGATGTATTTATTATTCCTTCTATGTGTGGCATATAGTACAATATTCATCTAAATAAATGTTTTAAGCTGCAAGTCACAAACATTTAAAATAATATTGTTAAATATAACGTGTTTTTATTTTTACATTAATGATAATCATGTAAAAATGTAGAAAAGGTAATTTCTAATATTTTTATATAATTATTAATCACTAACATTAAAGCCAACAATTATAAAACAACTTCTAAAATAGCTTCTAATCACTACATTTGTATTACAATTTATAGAATAACATTATTAGAACAATTATAATATCGCAATTTATCAATAATTATATACAATAATTCTCAGATATTCTTTATCAAACTGACTGCGTTCTTCCGGTCTTATCATGCGACAAAAAGCATACTGGCATTGTCAGGCCGACTATAATACTAATTGGCGCACCAAACCCTGCAGAACTTCACAATCACCGGAATATATTCACCAAACAGTACATGCATGTCAATCTCCATAAAAAAGCGGTACGAAAGAACTGTCTATCTTAATCGCGCACTCGACCGTGGATTCATCTGTCGGCAAAACGACCTCCGAAATAGTCATTGCCTGCTATCGTTACGATACGTTCAACATCGAGGAAGTGGTGTTCGTTGTTCTAGCGAGTTCGTCCTGAAAAGAGGATCCACCGACGGGGAAACGTCGCCGAAGCATATCAGAAATTTGAAATTTAATATCAAAAGTAGCTTGAAAAAAAAATATTGCAAAAGGCACGGATAAAACAGTTTTTAAACACAAAGACGACAATGGAAATCTAGAAAGTTTAGTTTTACCGTACGGAAAATTGTCAAATTCAAAAGTATGGTGAGAGCATTTCTTTTTCATTTTTTGTCCACAATAGATATATAAAAATATGTTATCTTTTATTACTATCAAACTCAATGTACTTATATTATAATAACTTATATTAAAATATAAATTATATAAGTGTACTATATATATATTTTAATATGCTATTTAATTATATCTATTTTTTTCAAAACTCATAGTAAAATTTTATTACTATCTCTAAAAATATATTCTGTTGTAAAAGCTTTTTGCATTAATGTTTGCTTTTTATTAATAAAAAATTCTGTTCTGTGACAGGATAATTTTTTGTTCCTATTTTAGACAATATTTTTTGTTTATATTTGTCACGTTTATTTATATTTGTCACATTTATTACATTTATGAGTGCATTCATATTTAATATTGTGCCCTATAAATATCAGCTACATGATAATTCATAATTCGTCATTTCTCTCTGTACATCGAAAATTACGAGATAACTCATATTCAGCAATCAACATATTAATATATTCGCTTTTAATTTACATGCAAATAATTAATATTTATTTGTAATGCATGTCGTTTAATCAAAAACCATTTATTTTCCATTTTTAAAAGAAAAAGCCCCTTTTAATCATAGAATAATCTGATTGTGTATATACTCTTATTAATCAGAAATGAGACATTTCTCTTTCTAATTTTAGCATGAGTACAATCGACGGTGAGATTTTATGTGCAGATACAACGTGTACGTTGAATATGGGAATGACCCTACTTGCTGTAATATTCATTGTAGTATTGTTCGCAACTGCAAATAATATCAATGAACAATGCCAAGTGCATAATGAAAGGTGGATTACGTGTAATTGCATCGGTAACGAGGTATACTGATTAACATCTCTAACATATCATATCGCCATAATCTCTGCACTTCACTTATTTTGATTTTGTTTCAACAAATGTTTATGTATTGGTCTATCTTGAAATAAATCGCCAATTAGCGTAAATGTATTGAATATCAATTGTTTTTTTTGCAAAAATATATAAGGTAGTTAATAATTAGTTTAGAATTAAAAATATTTTTACGATGATAGAAGATACAAGAAGTTATACTTTCCATTATAGTCCAATTTGAGTACTCTTTTTTAGCATTGTATAATTTTTTAAATTAAGTATAATAAAAAGAGAAGAATTTCAATATACATTGTAAGATTTAAGATAAAAAGATACATCGTATTTGGCGAGAATTTCAATAACTTCAAAACTGATCGAATACTTATAGAACTTCTAAAACTATAAGAAAATATCTGATTTTTACAGTTGACTGTACGTACACTCTTTATATTTAAAATGAAATAAGTACATTTTTTATATTTGGTAACAATAAAAAGTGTTCAATTCATCAATAAATAACGAAGTTACTTCAACTAAATCTCAATTAACTTAATTGTTGTATTTTATTAACACGAATAAAATTAATTTTCTAAAACGATTTTTATTTAAAAGCAATAAAACTATACGGATTTTCGTTTACAGAAATTTTATTTAAGAAACATCATTTTCTTTTACAAAAATTGCCCATTAGAAACATTTTCAATTGATTCTGATATTCAATTGATTAAACATGGATGGATATAACGTTATATATACAAAATGTTATAACTATATAATTATCAACATATCTATCTTTTAATAAGGGTCATAGACAGTCACTTACCAATAATAACAGATTTATTTTATAATTTAAACTGATATTTAGCTTATCGTTCTCACTTATTTTGCGGGACTAAAAATCTCAACACTTCAATATTTTTACGACGACTTTTTTTTTGTTCTACTTTTTTTATTAACTTTGAAATAACATTATCGTTTACAGTGTACGTGGATAATTACCTCTTCGTAAAAATGTTAAAGTAAAATACATAAGAATATAAAATAAATGGACATGAAATAATTGAGGATATAGTGTTCTTAATTAGATTTAATTTTTTAGGATTTTTTTCTACCAGAAGCATATGATTACACGAACACTCTCAGCGTGTCGATCACAGGCTGCGTTTCGGTGAACCTTCATTACTCCAGTTTTCCGGAGGCGAGCAATATTGAGGAAGTAATAGTTCAAAATATCAGTGGTAGTCTGAATTTTGACGTCTTTTTTTCGTCAAGTCATATGAAACTGTTGAAGCTTTCGAACATTGGTCGGATACCGATGATAGCGAGTCATACGTTCATGTTCTTGAAAGCTATTGACACGCTTGCAATCGAGAATACGCTTATCGAGACTCTCGAGGAAGAGTTTGCCTACATCAATATTTCGCACTTCATTATGATGAACGTTACAATCGAGCGAGTGTCCTGTCTAAATGTCTCCGAAAAGGGCACGAAGTTGCGCATAGTGAATAGCAAGCTGTATAATGTCATGGAAACCTTGAATTTTGCCAATTTCTTAAACATCGAGATCATTGGCTCCAAGTTCGAAATGCAGAAACCGGGACTAATGTCTATCCAAGGCGATGTCGCCATTGTAAAAAACAACATTTTCTCGAACGTAAGCATGAACTTGGTCACCACGACTGCCATTGTGATAAACGGCATTTGCGCAGATGGCAAAAGCACTCTGAGGCTTAGTTCAAGGAGCATTGATAGTACAGATAACAGATTACCGAATGAAATAGCTTATCCAGGAAACGATCAGCGTGGAGAACCTCTCACGGAATTTCTCACGATTCGAAACAATACGGTCTGCAAAGCAGGCAACTGCAAATGTTCAATAAGTAGCGGACAGGCTTCGTGTCCTATTCGCGTCAACACAATATACATTTTCTTGTTAACAAAGTTCATATTTATACGCTATCTTTGATGCCTTTACTATGTTAATACTAATACTAATATATGATCTGAGTCTGGCTAGATAAAATCGGTTCGTGAAAAGTCAATCTCGATTCAATATTGTGATCAAAATATAAAATAATTTTAAAAAATGTAAACAGCATATTTTTAGACATTGAATCATGTGATTATACTATAGATACTGGATAACTTAGTGATAAAGTACAGTTACTTGTTAAGCAAGAAACTCGGATTCATTTCTGGATTCTGCGATTCCATATGATAATATAAAGAATTTTGTATAAAGAAGTATAAAGAGAAACAAAAAAAAATCCAATAATAACATTAGATAAATAATGATATTTGTATTTTCTGTGAAGAGCAAAAAATCAAATAAGTATTGCGTTGTGTTGTTACAATCGGTTTTCCTTCATGAACTATAGAGGAAATATGTAATTGCCATATAATATATAATTTGCCAAATTTTTAAGCTATTTTCTTATTACATTTTGATAATATTCTTCTACTTATTCCATTTAATCCTCAATCTATTCTTTGTTTAACATTAGTTATATATGTAAAAGGAACCTACCCTTTAAAAAAGCTAAATTTAATTAAGTAAGTATTCAAATTTTTATTGGCCTAGTCTCGGTTTCTTTTTGATTGACCTGTATATTCTTATTCTTTCAAAAATATAATTATGTACTGTTCATTTAATTACAAGTGTAAGTATAGAAGAAAAAAATAGATAAAGAGAACAGATCTATGTTAAAACAAAATGTATATATGAGTTAGGAAATCACAAAGCATCTTTATTTCATTCAAAAATTTTAAACAAAATCTTTCTATAACATACAAATTAACATATAAATTAACATTAAACTTATTCAAAATATTTAAAGCTCTGTTTACAAAAAGCAATATTATTACAAAAGTCCGTATTGCTGTATTATTAGGAATATACACATTTTTTCATGTATGTCCAAGTTATAAATAAATTATAAATATCAATTATATCTCAAATATCTGCATTAGTCCAAGCTCCAGATGCTTCAATATGTAAAGCAATTCCAGTTTGATGTAATTCCAGTGCTTCTTTCAGATTATTAATTTCTTCCAACATATGCCTATTGTTTTCTTCCAAACGGCAAATAGTTTGTTTGTACGAAATTAGCTCCTTCTCATGAATTTTTTGTAATAATTTATCTTTTGGTGTAAAAGAACCTATAGCAAAAAAATCATTATACATCTCATTATCTCGAATTTTATTACATACGATATAATTATGATCATATTCTCTATTAGCACAATTCAACGACAATATATTCATGTGTATTGAAGATATATTAAATATTAATGTTAAATATTAATGTGTATTGAAGATATATTAAACCAATATTGTTAATAAATTGTACTATTAGAGATGATATGCATTAAGTATCAAGCATGTTCTGTATATAAAGTATTTTCTATAATTATGTAACAAGTTGAATGCTAACCCCTGACAACTAAGCAATTCGCAACAAAGTTGAACTGGTTGCATTTATCGTTGTGCAAAGACAATTTTATTTGAGAATAGAAGAAGCTATTCATTAACTAATTAAAATTCAGATAGATTCCATATATTATAATATTGTATATTATTGTAAATATAGAACAAAACCACATTTAAAAAAAATTAATAACTGAAACAACGTGATATCAACTAACCAGCAGACTTTTGTAACTGCTCTTGGAGCTTCTGACTACTCTGCGTGATTCTTCTTATTTCATGCTCATGTTGAGTTTCTTTAAACTGAATTTGTTTCTTTAGTTTTCGTATCTGTAAATCAGATATTACATTTTAATTTTTGTAAATTATTCAAATCAATCAATATCAGTTTTATTTTAAACAAATCATACCTCGTCTCTTTCCTGCTTCAGATTACGTGATGCATCCTCACATTTAACATTTAGTCTTCTTTCTCTTTCCTCTGCTTTGCATATCATATGTTCTTTCTTTTGTATATCTTCCTTCAGACGCTTTACATGATTCTATCAATAAATTTATAATTACACATTACAATTTAAAAATATATCTTAAGTACTATTTAATTTCCACATACTTACCAATCATTTTACTGTGCTGCGTGGAATAATATAAAATGTCTCAGTACTTATTCATGTTTTAAGTAAAAGCAAACTCACCTTAAGATTAACATTATCATTAACAGTTTTATGATTTAAATCAATCAATTGATCATGCAATCGCATTAAGTATCTATGTTTATGTATCATTTTCCATGCAGCATTTATTACTTGTACAGATAAATCTTTTAATGATTCTGAGGTTTGCAAATCATTATTTATGGTTACCGATGAGATACCAAATGATTCAAATTCCTATAAATTTAGACATCAATCAATATCAAGTATAAGCATATTCTAATAAGATTATTGGCTATGTCATCTATCTCATTACTTCATTCAGTGTATTCAAAGACTGCTGTAAATTATCTTGTTTACAGAATGCAGTTTCTTCACTAATACAGTTGTTTCGTACAGCAAACATACTTCTCAGATCTCTCTTTAGGTAATTACCAGTGGAAATTGCATTCATATTTATCTGCACATATATTTTTGAATCATTTATGTTGTAAATAAAAATAAAATTTAACATTTTTTGTATAAAAATTGTATATCTCTTACAAAGTATATATAAAACTAAGCATATTCAAACCTATATATTAAAAAATATGGCCATTTTGTAGAAGACAGTATATTTTTCACTAAAATGATGAACTTTTTCAAATAAAATTTAGAATATAATTACTTATATTTTCTTAATTATTAAAATTTTTATAAAAAGAAGAATACACGAAAAAATTAATTGTTGAATTTCTCTAAATAATATTTTACAATGATGATAAATGATATGTATTTGTTAAAAGATTAATATTTGCATTTATTTTTGCGCTTAATTTATGTCAATCAAATAAGATGTTTCATAATTATATACATACATACAATAATTATTTTAATTAAGAAGATTGATCTCTTCTATTCCTAACCTCAATCATTTCTTTTTAAATGTATATATATATATATATATATCTCTTTCTCAGATATTTCATCTTAGATTAATTTCCTAATCAATCCTTTTTAAACATATTATTACTTACTATAATGTTCTTATATATTATAACGTCCTTTTTGTTTCATTACACGGATATAACTTTGTTACTCTCCCCGATCTTCCTACACCTATACAACAATCCCCTACGATGGCTAACCGAAATGTCTGAAACCTAAACTTTATACTTTACCCTCTTCGATGACTTCCGCGCATGTCCACATTTTAGATTTCCCTCTCTCTTTTACTCATTCTTATTTCCAAACAGATATATCGAATATGTATTCTCATAATTTTATGATCAAAGAAGACACATAAATGATGATAATTTTTGAGAAAGGATGTGTAAGATTTTTAATTAAAGCTAAATTTTTTAACAAATTATTAATTATTTAATAGTTACTGAAAATTAAAAAAAATTTTATTAATTTATTACACTTATAAAAATTTAATTAACACTAATACTGATTAGTTAGTCACTTATTTGCAATATTAAAAATACTATTAATAATATTTTTAATACCCAAAATGTCTATAAAGGTTCAAATCAGAGATAAAGATTATCTCTGATTTTTAATTAGGTTTAGCTTTCTGCTTAAATTAATTATTTTCTAGAATAATTTATATTATAATTCTATTCTGTAAAATCTCTAACGCAAATTATATAATGATCGTTTAAAGAGGGAGTTACAGAAGAAAGATAAATGAATTATATGTATTCGTGATTTATTGATCACAATACGTGCACCCCATTACAATTGACGCGCGCGTCTATTTATCATATACATTTTTACCAAAATTACAAATAGAATTTACAGATATAGCTATAGCGTGTTATTCATATCATTTACATTCTCTAACAATTACTATCACAATGTTTTTATTGCACGTCTTATTTTATTAATAAACATATTTTTCTTTCCGCTAAAAGACCTCTCGCATTCATTCCTAAAGATAATTTTGACGCTACATTTTTAATTTATAAATTTTGAATTAAAAATTCTCCGTTCTTTGAATCATGAAGGCTATTCTTTCTCTCTCAGCCTTAATCAAAGAAACGATTTTTAAAATCAATTATTTTGCTCATTCCATAAATTTTCTTCGCAATTGAAATTTGGCATTATGATAATAATCACTTTTAAATAATTTCATTTGAACTATGAAATTAATTTACTATTCAATTCCTTTTTAATGTAATATTATATTTTTTAAACTTGCTTGCACATATTAAACACATGTAAAACACTTATTAAAATACATTATAAAAGATAATATTTCAAACAATTAAATAATTATACACATACAAAGAAACACGTGATCTGCACCTCTATAAATATTCCTTCTCATAATTACATTTCTTTTGTAAGAGTTTATATATCACATAATTGTAATTTATTAAATTTCGTTTGATCATGTTTCATGAAAATACGATTGTTAATTTATTAACAATGAAAATAATTGACTTTTATTAAATCTATAATAATTGTAATATTTAGAAATTGATAAAGAAATTTATGAACCTTTTACATCAATTAATTGCTATTTAAATTTGAATTTATAACAGTTTTAAAATTAAAATTGAACATATAAATAATTAATCAAATTGAATATAAGAATATTAATAATTAATGAAATCTATATATAGGAAATATGTAATCACAAAAAAATGAATCTTAAATATAGGCAAGGAATGCGATTAAAATTTGCTCGTACACTCCATTTATTAGGAAAAGTTAAGATTTTTTAAAAAAAAGTATGCGTGTCATTTTTAAATTACCCGCATTTAATTATAAAAATACACTATACTTTTTCAATACTTAAACACGAGCTTGTTATCGAACTGTTGTTTAATCATTTCCGTTGCCGTGAATTGAGTAAATTCTAAATCGCAAATAGGAGATATCATACTTATGTAAATTGAAAACAGACTAAATATAAGTCAATAATCATTTCTTTGACACGTGAACAAACGAAATTAAATCTGACGATTAGCTTGTCGTCTATTTGAAAATACAGATATTTAAACTATATACTTGTACACATGTGTGTACAAAACATATGTATTACTTCTCTCTGCTTAGTTATTTTGCAGTAAAGCAGGGACCATATATCCGGCCATTGTTCGTTGAACTAATTTCTCATGCGAAATGGCTGCTCGATTAGATATTAGACAATGAAACGATTGATCCGGATGGTGTTATACAATTTTTTTTCTTCATAGACAGAATGGTCTCAAATATAAATCAGGACTTGTTTGCGATATTTAGGCACACATCTACGAAGAAAGCAGGAGAGTACACCTAGATGTTCCTCAATAAAGCGTTCTTCGCCGAATGACGAATAAGGCCTCTAGGATGTACCGTTCTGCTTCTTTTTTTGTATGGTGTTTATATACGAAAGATCTCAGATAACTCATTGCATTGACAACGAGCTGAGACTTCTGGATTGATCTGTGTCTTCCTCTTCGCAGATGAAGCTCATAGTTCGCTTCCGTCCCTTCATGTTCCACAGTACATAGGAATGTTTGGTGCCGGACACTCTACGCGCTTGACTAAAAATCACCAATAAACGTATTGTATGAGATATAAGATTATTTACTATACATAAAAGACGAACATTTACAAAATCATATGTATATTCATCATATTTAAAAATTATTTTTCAATAAAATTTCTTTTAATATCATACTTTTCCTTAATCAAGCTTTAAATTAAAATTCTATGAACATGATGTTATTTAAATTTAAGTAAGATTAAAAATTTGTTTTTTATTTTTTCGTTCATAAAAAATTTACATTGCAAGAAATTAATTTATTTTTGAACGATTATAATTTAAGAACTTTTAAAACATTTTGATAATTAAAGCAATAATTAATTTTAACAAGTAAAAGGATTAAACAGTATATAAATGATAAACAGTATATAATGATAAAAGTATTAAACAGATGAAAAAAATATAAAAGATTGTAAATCTAGAAGAAACTAGATTACTGATGTACTTACGTTTGATACCAATCGTAGTTTGTGACATACGTTTCGTCAAAGCAGAACTTTTCGTATAAATCTATTACAGAATAGTTGATAAAAGATGGATCTCTTTTAGACGGATCATCCGTCAGAGATCTTATCCAATTGTTGAAGGAAAGCAACGCCATACTTTGTTTCTTATGAGCGTAAATGCTGAGGTTAGCCAAAGGTGGAAGAGTACAGATAGTGATGGCTGTATTTGAAAGATGAAACTTAGACCGGAGAACTTGCAAGAGTTCCGTCATATCGTATACCATTTCCTCGCAAGTGGCGTTCTGAAGAAGATCGAATATTTAATGAAAATCTAATTGTATTGTATTTTACAGATACAAACAAATAATAAATTTAAATTTATTCAAAGGCTTTCTATATCTATATTGCAATTTTTTTCTGAAATTTAAGTAAGCCTCACACATTGGATAATATTTATATTCAATTTATTCTTGGTATACGTTTGCTTGGTATGCGTCATCAATCTGTATACAAAGATAGAGCAAAGTCAAATTAACTTACATTATAAACATCAACCGAGCCAAGCAAAATCATAACACGATTAGAAATAGTATTAATATTCCTCAAAGCCCGAGTACAGTCGCTAATGGTCTGTCCGGAGATACACAATCCACAATGTAACGCTAAGCTATCTGCAAAATAATAATGAAATACAAAATTTACAGCTTTTATCGTAATTTTTATTGTAACATTTATTTTCTCTGTGCGTGTGCGTGTGCGTGTGCGCGCGCGCGCGCGCATGTGTGTGTGTGTGTGTGTGTGTGTGTATGTGTGTGTGTGCCTTAAAAGTTATTTTAATATATTTATTTTATATTTTTTTAATTTTTTGATAACAATTTTTTAAAATGATGCAATTTTAAATAATTTAAGGAATGATGTAATTTTCTTCTAATAATAAGTAAAAAAAGAATTATAACAAAATCAACGCTAAGATTTTAATACAAACAGGACTCGCAGGAAACTTTGGGTGCTTTCCATTTGATGATACAAATCGACACAAGTTAACACAAGTGTCGTTCTATTTTTGTCACTCTCCGAATGTCAACAAGGATAGAATAACGCTTGTGTCGACTTGTGTCATCAAATGGAAAACATCCTTTGTAAATAAAATATTGTTATACCCTTGTATCTCCAAATAGGAAGATGTAAATTTCGTATTGCAAGCTGTAGAAAGAAATCATCGCCAAGTAATTGTTGCCCGTTTGCAACGGGTTCATATACGCTGTCCTATTATAATTAGCATAAAAAAACATTAAATATCTTGCAATACTTTTCAGAAAATTTTACTTGATGCACAATAAGTTCAACTGTACACTCACATATTTTTTTACTTGATTTGTTTCTATTACTATTGGATGATGATTTTCTTCTTCCAAATATAAAAAATTTTTATTTTTATAAACACCATCTAAAGTAAATCAAACTTATTTATTAAAAAAAATATCTTTTTAAAATATTCTATTATTCCAAATGATTTTATTTACAATGAAATTAAAATCTAAAATTTAAATTATAAAATATAGAATAAAATAAAATTATAAAATAAAAGTGTTATAATAAGAAATAACAATAAATCAGATAAGATCTTAAAATTAATAATCTATAGAAGTATAATCTATAGAAAAGTTCCTGAAGGTACAAATAAAAACTACATTGAAGAAAATTTTGTAAATTGTAGAATATTATTTCTACAAATTTAAGACTGAATATCTTACTGGTTCCAAATAAATTTAGATCACGACGTTGAGTAAAATCCTGATTCCGTTTTTTGATTCGATCAGCATTATAAATTAATCTATTCCGTTGTCTACGGTCATCGTGATCGTGTCTAAAATTGCCATTTCGCATAAACTGTTTATAATATTTGTTCTAAAAATAAAATGTTATATTTCTTTTTAATCTATGTATTATATATAATTATTATTGCGTATTTATGTAAAATATAAATTGCCATGTAAACATACTCTAGTCTTTGAATAATCCATTTTTTGTTTGCATATAAGTCTATCGATATGAGATATTTTAGAATCATTTATTCTTAATGTTTGTTCACCAAAATTATTCCAATTTGTCTCCAAACCATCTATAGTTTGTAAAAATGCACGGAGACTCGCAAATCCTAATCTGCGATACGGAATAGATTCTCCAACGAGAATTTGAAACTCATCTGTAAAAGCAGTCTTTTTTAATTTTTAAATCTATAATCTATAATCTTGGATATAAAATTCTAAATTCTGAATCTTATCATGAATTAATATTTTATTAGATTTAAATAATAAAATCATTTTATTATTTAAATTTGAATTTTATTTACAGTAATTTTATAACATTTTATTTTAATTTTCATTTTAATTTCTTAAATTAATCTTAAAGAAATTAGCTTGTGAACTAATTTATTTGAGAAGAGATTCTGCAAATTTTATTTGAACAAATAGAAGTAAGTCATATATTAGTACGAGGCTTATTGATAAATCTAGGATGTAATTGTAGAATCTTAATTATTCATATGTGTATAAAGAAAATAATATTATATATTTAATAGAAAGAAAATAATAAAATATGTTTAATACTTTTTTATTTATATGCCAATATCTCTTAACAATAAATATTCTTTCTCTGACTCTCTTTCTCTTGTGTATCATTGTATATATGTAAAATATTACATAATATGTAATATTTTATAAATAAAAATATTAGTTAAATAAAAAGAATAATATAAAAAACTCTTACCATTTAGATCTGTAATTGGTATACCGCCTTTCTTTGAAATTATGCATGATTTAATCAATGCCACCGTTTCTTCCATTTTTATGTCTGACTATGAACTTTCATATCTAATCTTATTAAAGAGATAATTTTTTAGTATAAACTCTTGCTTTTCAAAAAAACGTGTAGATTTTATATATACGCGAGTGAGTAATTTAATCACAATTTTTTCACTTGTATACTTTATATCTTATAAAAAAAATCTAACTCTTGTAAAAGTTCTGCAGACCTGCTGCTGTGAATATTAATTCAGACATTACGGCGATGTTCGCACTCACGAACGGTGACTGAAGAATGAGTGTCGATTCATCATACGACAGTACGACCTACCCCCAATACCCCCATTTCGTATACCCTACCAATGTTCTGGAAAATTCCGTCAATTCGTAAGCTTGGCTCACAACGCGTGATCTATATAGAATAAATACCAATACAAGAAGAATGTGTACACACAATGTTTGAATGAAAGTAACGTGGAATTTTCCGCTGATACTGTTCATTACGACAACGGTTATAACGATGTCTTAAGAAAAGACCTCGTCCTAAGAAAATATTTATGTAATTGTCTAAACATTTATGTAATTTCAGGCACTTTTGAAAATAGTTTTCATATAATTAAATTTACATAATTTTATTTTCTATATACGAAAATATTAATTGCATTATAAATTTTGTTGTGAACAGATGATCGATATATTGATTTATAGATATTTATATATCTACATATATTATGTGTACGGAAATGATTTAAATCGTAAATATTCTGCAATGGAATTATCGTATACATATTTTCATTCATAAAAGCATAATCATTAATTACAGATTCGATCATTTGGATTCAAAGCAAAAATTTTTGGATAATTGTATAATTTGTACGATTAATATTATGAAGTGCTAAATTATAAGTAAAAAAGCTATGAATTTTCCTTTCTTTTTAATTACCGGAAAAAAGAGGTTTGCTTTTATTCTGTACTTCAAACAGAATGCTTTAGATTTTAAGTATAGTTTTCATAACTGTAATTGAGGATTAAATATGATTTATATAAGAATAAAATTTATTATTGATTTATATGCATATTTTAAAAGAATTATTAGTATCGGCAATTATTCTTGTCATATATACAGGATTGGGTAAGTAAAGTGTTTTTTTTTAACTGAATAAAGTTAAAGTTAATGGCTTTACAAAATTAATAAAGTTAAGTTAAAAGTTAAAGAAATAAAAAATTAACTTAATGTTAAGTCAATATTGAATTAACTTAAGTTAAAAAAAAATTAATTTTGAAAAAATTATTTTTTAAATCATAATGTCCTAATTTTTCTTAAAATGAGATTAAATAACTACAACATAGATTATTAAGTAAATTAAATTTTTAATTTTTTTATTCATATGCGATATAAATATATAACATATAACGATACAACTATATAATTTATATAACTTTAAAAAAACAGCCAGCACATAGAGAAGTTACAAGATCAGTAATTACTTTTTAATAAGTCTTAAGCCATAAGAAATTGATCAATTACAATCGAATGCGAGAATATTTGACTGAAATTGATCAATTTCTTATGACTTAAAGCTTAAAACATCTATTGTAGATCCGGACTAAAGTTTATGGCATAAGGCATAACTGCATAAATCAATCAGAGAGCTGTATTAGCATCTTAAGAAATTACTTAAGATGGTTTTAAAATATGAACGGATTACGAAATATACCTTTTATCTTATTATTTTTCTAAGATATTTAAAAGAGATAAAAAATTGTTTAACTTAAAAAAAAGTTTAACGTTTAAAAATAACTTAGTTAAGTTAAAATTTAATACATTTAAAATTAATTAAGTTAAGTTAAAAGTTATTAACTTTTTAACTTTTTTTTAACTTTTAACATTTTAATTAGTTACTACTCAACCCTGCATATATAATATTCATAGAATATATTCACAATGCAATAAAGTATATTTATATATATATTAAATTTTTCTTATATAATATAAAAGAAACAGTATTTTTCATTTTTGCATACAAATATAATCACTTAAACAAAGATTAAAAAGATTGTAGATTATCAAATTCACAAGGAGTGCATTTGGAGATATTGAAATATATGTATAATGTTACATTAAAACTAACTGAAGTTTATTTTTCGGCAGATCGCTCGAGATGCCAATACTTACAAGGCCTCTCGACAAAGTTCTGGAGAGTTTTGACGGGTCAGTAACTCCGAAAATATTTATGTCGTCCCAAACTATTCTTACACCCGCGACAAGGATATTTTTGGCTAATGTTGGGTAACTCCCGTATACGTTTTATTGCTTTTCTCTTAATTACGGCTGTTCTCTGGAATCCAAAAATATCCAAAAATATTTTGCAAATTGTAAAAATGTCTTTGTGATTTCTTTTAACGTCATCAACGAAATTTTCGCCAAGTAATCATAAGTAATCCATAAAAACATATAAAAGGAATCCATAAAATTCCAATATAATTTTATATTTTTAATGTTTATTGACTTTTTTTTATTAATTAAATGTTGTATACAAAATATTTTCTTTTTATTGAGAATTATTTGCTGCTTCTGGAAATTATTTATTACTTATTTATATCTAAGAAATATTTGCATCGACATTATTAATTCCCTTATTTAGGAGAAAGTTTATAAAACTATTTCAGCGCAAAATGTGTATATTTCTCAAGAAATGAAAAAGAATTTCGTTTATGTATTTAATCTTAAAATACTACTCATATTTTTCTTATACATTAACTCATTTCTAAGTAAAAATTTATCTGCGAAATTAAATATTTTTTACACTTTTTAATATCTGTTTTATAGATTAAAATGTAATAGAATAATTAAAGTAATATTTTCA